AAAATTACACTGATACAGTTTTTGCCTCGCAGCTCCGTTAACTTCCATCCGATTTCAACGCAATTATCAATGCAAATCTGTTAATGAAAGTTTTAATTTAGTACAAATTCTTTTTTCAGATACGTTACTACTAGTAGTTATCTTGAGAAAAGTTCCTTTTGATTTTTACTTTTGTATCTAAGAATAATAATTGTTCGATTATTTTTCCTTAGGATCCTTATTTTGTTTAATATGGATGAAAAAAATGTGAATAATCCTAGGCACTTGATAATAAATTATTTCTGTACGAGTGGGTTTTTGACACATGCCAACCCTGATTTAATTATCCCTAATTTAAGCAGAATTACATTAATATTAGAGAGTTATTGGAACTATTAAATAATGCCTCGCAGTATTAAGGATCTACGTTATTTTATTAGTGCATCAGCACTATTTTCCCAAGAAAAAAACAGTTATTGGAAGACTTGTAGTAGGTACTAGAGTATTACCTTATTTTGTATTCCTAATTTTGACAGCTGATAGCTATGTTTATAAAAATCAGCCTCAAAAAGTGTTTATTTTTGTTTGTGATTTTCTGCTGATACCCATTTTTTGATGTTACCCACAGTAAATTGTAAAAAATAAATTTTCTAAGTAAAATTACGTCATCGTCGAAAAGCGAAACGTCAAAGTTGTCCAAAATGTCAGAAATTTGAAATAAGGGAAGTTTACTGCCTCGCACTAACCATACACTAATAAGGACAAGCAGTAACCTTATTAAGGGAATCCTTATTTTCGGACCCAAATGCGCATGCGTAGATGTCAAAATAAAGCTAATTTAAATACTGCTTGTCCTTATTGCACGTCCAATAACTCTCTATTGGATTGAAATTACCAACAACGTTGTGGGGCAAAATCTGTATCCAATGTCAATTTTGGAAAGAATCAAATTTCCAAAAAATTACGTTGAGGCAAGGAAAATGTTTGGGTAATTAGATTGATATTTTTCATATATGTATAAAATAAATATTGAAATTTAGGAAAAACAAAAAAAAAAAAAAAAAAAATCCTTCTGCATGCTCACCTAATCTAAGATAGAACACTTTCAAGTTTTGCTGCGGTGAAACTATTGAACCCTCGATTGAAGCTGTATTGATACTATCAACAGTATCAACTAGATATCTGTAATATTGGAGCCCAATTTAGATACGACCGGATTGAAATTAACAAAGCTATGAGGCAAAATGAGTGCTGATGTCATTGTGAAAAAAATCAAATTTCCAAAAAATTACATTGAAGGAAGTTTTATTTTTCCTTTGAAAAATGTTGCAGGGATTGGATTGAAATATTGCATAAAGATAGGGCAAATAATGAAATTTGGAAAAAAAACTACATTAATACAAAATCCTTCTGTACTCACTAAACTTGATAATAATCAAAGTTTGACTTCCAATAAGCTGGGAAATTATGAAAGCTGCATTAATACTATTCACTAGAGATTTGAGAAAAATTAATTGGTCTCAATTCGGGCCTAATTTTGTTAAGATCGGATTAAAATAAACAAAGTTATGAGGCAAAACGAGCGTTACCTAATGTTATTTTGGAAAAAATCGAATGTTGAAAAAAAATTACTATATCAATGAGAGACGTTTCATTTTTTATAGATTGGATTGAAATTTTGGAAAATAGTTTGAAATTTAAGGAAGAAAAAATCATTCTGCATTGACTTTAATCATTGATGCTGTTAAACTATTGGAGTTGCATTGAAACTTAATTTTCTTCTTGAGATTATTCCAAGCATTTCTTATTTAGGGCCAGTTTATTAACCTTCTGATAAACTGTCAGGTATGCCATCTGACGGATAAAAACGCAATCGGTAATCCCATTAGTCGGCCAGTTATCCGCCGACCAATAGAATTATAGGACGGAAAATTTATCTTGCAAATAGTTACCAGCAAGTTTATCGGAAGATGAATAAACCGGGCATAAAGGAAGTTTTATTTTTCCTTTGAAAAATGTGGCAGGTTGGATTGAAATATTGCATCAGGATAGAAAGAAAATTGAAATTTGGAAAAAAATAAATGAAAAATCCATTTACTCAATCACCTCGATAAAAATCAAAGTTTGACTTTGAAGCTGGGAAATTATGGAAGCTGCATTGAAGCTATTCACTAGAGATTTGTGAAGAAATTAATTGGTCTCAGTTAGAGCTTAATTTCATGATAATGAGGCATAATGTGTGTTAATGTCATTTTGGAAAAACTCGAATTTTCAAAATATAACATTCATGAGAGACGTGTAATTTTTCTTTTGAGCGAAATGTTTGAGGGATTGGATAGAAATCTTGCAAATGGATCGAAAATAGTTTGAAATTTAAGAAAGAAAAATCATTCTGCATTGACATTGAATCGTTGCAGCTGCTAAACTGCTTCGACGAAGTTTAAGTCAATGGGAATTCTGCATAGGGGTTGGAAATTGTGTTAGAATAGTACCCTATTAATTTCATTGCAAGACTCGAAGTCCGAGATGAAAAAACAAACGAAAATCTGAATATTTATGCATTTTTACTTATTAAGGGTAGTTTTTCGTACTTCGACGGGGTTTGAGTTAATGGGATTTTGCATGGGGTTAGAAATTGTGTTAGTATAGTAGCTCATTAATTTAATGGCAAGACTCGAAGTCCGAGATGAAAAACAATACGAAAAGCTTAATATTTAGGCATTATTATTTGTTAAGATTTTTCGTATTTCGACGGGGTTTGAGTCAATGGGATTTTGCATGGGGGTTAGAAAGGGTTTTAGAATAGTACCCTATTAATTTCGTGGCAAGAGTCGAAGTCCAAGCTGGAAAAAAATACGGAAATCCCAATGTTTATCCATTTTTATTTGTTAAGGGTAATTTTTCATATTTCGACGGGGTTCCAGTCAGTGGGATTTTGCATAGGGCTTGGAAACGGTGCTGAAATAGTGGTCTATCAATTTCATGGCTAGAGTCGATGTCTAAGTATGATTTATTGAATTTATTGCATTAAAAAAAAAGTTACTCCAATGGTCGTTCGGGTGTTTCCGTCAAATTGGCTGCCAAGTTTTGACTGCTAAATTCACACCGGTTAATTTTCATCCGATTTCAACGCAATTAGGCTCTAATTGAAGGCAATTAAATTCTCTACAAATTTGTTAAATAAGATTTTAACAATAGTTTTGCACCTGAGAAGCTTCAAAATTGAATTAATCGAACATTGCAAATGTCCAAAAAATGACACTGAGACAATTTTTGCCTCACAGCTTCTTAAATTTTCATCCAATTAGGTTCTTATTAAAGCTAATTAAATTTTCTACAAACCTTTCAATCAAGATTTTACTTAACAACAGTTTTGTACCTGAGAAGCTTCAAAAGTGAAAGTATCGAACATTGAAAATTTTCCAAAAATTACACTGAGATAGTTTTTGCCTCACAGCTCCGTTAATAACGCTTTGCATTCGTGTATTTCTTCATGTATAACTATAAATACATGCAGAAATAAATATGGATGGGAAAAATGTGAATAATTCTAGATTTTCTATTGCTATTTGTCAGTATATGGTAGGAATAAGTATATTTTTTTAATAAAAAATGTTCGAACATTTTTTTCTGTTCGAGTGGGTTTTTGACACAAAAAGCCTAAAGCCCATTGGGTTTTTGTTAATATTGATGGGTTTTTGAAATGGGTTTGTGTTTATGCCAACCCTGATTTAATTACATACCCTTAATTTGAGCATAATTACATTAATATTGGATTGAAATTACCAAGAACGATGTGGGGCAAAATCTGTGTCAATATCAATTTGGAAGAAATCAAATTTCCAAAAAATTACCTTGAGGAAAGGAAAATGTTTGGGGGATTGGATTGATATTTTCCGAATGTATAGAAAAAATATTGAAAAGAAAAAAAATCCTGCATCCTGCATGTTCACCTTGATAAAAATTTAAAATAGAATACTTTGAAGTTTCACTGCGGTGAAACTATTGAAGCTTTATTGAAACTATCAACTAGACATCCAAAGATTTGATTGGCTCCTTATTTGAGCCTAATTTCGATAAGATCGGATTGAAATTAATAAAGTTATGAGGCAAAATGTGTACTGATGTCATTGTAGAAAAAATTAAATTTCCAAGAAAATACATTGAGGGAAGTTTTATTTTTTCTTTGAGGAAAATGTTGTACGGATTGGATTGAAATATTGTATAAGGATGGAAAGAAGATTGAAATTTGGAAGAAAATAAATAAAATATCCTTCTACTCACTCACTTTGATAAAAACCAAAGTTTGACTTTGAAGCTGGGAAATTAGAGAAACTGCTTCGAAACTATTCACCAGATATTTGTGAAGAAATTAATAATTGGTCTCAATTAAAGCCTAATTCCGTTAAGATCGGATTGAAATTCACAAAGTTATGAGGCAGAATGTGCGGTAATGTCATTTTGGAAAAAATCGAATTTTCAAAATATTAAATTTATGAGGGACGTTTGAAAAATTAAATGTCCAAAGCAAAATGTTTAAGTTTGAGGGATTGGATTGAAATTTTGCACGTGGACGTAAAACATTAAGGTAATTCAAGAGCCTGGAATAAGTAAAAACACAGATTCTAGTAATGCACGAGTTCCACAGTCATCATCTTACAGATTCTACAAGACTGTTTTTCTGTTTACAAAATTTACAGAAAATTTTAAATATACGAAAGGATTGAATGATTCAATATACGATTTTCACCGTAATTTTAAAGAGTATTTCAACAATTTGAAGGAAGTTGTAGGCGCGGTGTAACTGGGTTGTAAAGGACAGATTTTTTTAAATCCTACAGTTTCTTAAATGTAAGCATTGGGAGTGTCATTTTTACAAAGTCTACAAGAAGTTGTGAATATGCGGAAGACGTAAAACTTACCGTAAAGGTAAGTAAGTTTTTGCTCTAAATTCCACACATATAAATATTATAAATTTTCATTGAAATGTTATACCGAAAAAAAAATTTAAAAACACTTACCTAAAGTTGCATTTCTTGCACTTAAACAAGGTCCTCTTGCTATCGGAATTGGATCGCTTCTTTTCTTGCGTCACGTTGGCCAAAAATTGTTTATCGGCCGCAGTCAATCCTGGAGGCGATCGAACATTTCCGACTTTCATTAGTGCCACATCACCACTTGTCGGAAACTTCTTATCCGATTTACTGGTCGAAGGCGAAGAATTCCTGTCGTGACTTTTCGGTCTGGTACCAGAGCCTCCGCTGGTATCATTAGAAGACTGAAGACTGCTCAAAGGTATTTCGGTAAGGTACTTGTTGTATTTGGTATAATTTCTACGGCCTGTTTCGTCTGTCATTAGAACTTTTGCGCTTTCGTGCGCTTGATCTCTAACGGATTTGAGTTTAATATGTTTGGTTATGTCCCATCTCCAATTTGACCTGTAGGAGCACAGGGAACATTCAAAAGGTTTTTTATTGAGGTGGCCCACAATGTGTACATGGAACCTTGAAGCTGTCGAAGCCCAAAAAGTACAGTGAGGACATTTGAACACTCTTTTGTGTTGAGCCACTGAAATATCGTTACCGTGAGTTGGGATTTTTTCGGTTGGTGGTAAAGGTGAAGGTGTTGTTGTTTGGACAGGCGAATGTTGGACACTAGTAGATAAATTATTGTTAGTATTAATACTATTATTGTTTTCTTGTCCAATATAACTATTTTCACTATTTACAGGCGAATGGGTTCTAATTGACAAATCCAAAGAACCATTGTCGTCTAGTTTATCTTCGGTATATTCGTAATTAGAATCGTCCACATCAATATCCATAGGGACCATGATGTCATTCCAAACGAATACTTTATTTTCCATTGGGTGTGGTTTATTATCAAATTCATCATCCACACTGTGACGATCTTCGTCAATTTTCAGTTCATTTTCATGTTCGGATGAAGTATCGTTCAAATCCAAGTCGCTATGCATTTTAATAGCTTCTGCACAGGTTTGCAAATGATTGTAAAGATCTGCACTGGATTTACAACGTTGTCTACAATATTGACACCTCGAAGCACTTATATTATGAACTGGTATTATATTAGGAACTTTATTCAATTCCTTACCACATATTTTCTGGTGTTTGGCCTGTTCAGTCAAACACTTACTCTCGTGCCCGCACAAACTACACATTAAATTACATCCTGTATTAATTTCTAGTTTTTCCTTGAGGCGATCGAAAAACGAAGCATTTTTCTGTTTAAAATCAATCGACTTATTTCTATTGGTAAATGAAAATATTGAAGTAGGAATGAGATCAGGTACTTTTGAAGTTGAAGGACTTTTAAAGACATCTTCGCTGCCGCATATTGGGGCAAAGTCTTTTAGGGCACTATTGGCTGATCTTCTGCAAATATCGTTAATATCTTTTTGACTCATCATGGGTTCTTTGATGCTAAACGCTCGTTGTTGATTGAGCGGAATCAAGTTTGGAATTGGTCTAGAAGTTTTCTTTTTTTCGTTTATTTCTCTATCAATGTTGTGAAAGTGTTTTTCGTGTTTGGCCATTTCACTGTCCCAAGCAGTTTTATAATTGCATAGCTTACATTTGTTTTTGATGTACACTTTGCCATTAGAGTGTTGAACTATATCATCCGGATGAATAAATTCTGATAATTTTCCCTGAGTTTGTTCACTTATCACACCGTTTGTACTGCAAGCACTAGTAGTCACTTTTGATTTTTTCGAAGTTGTTTTAGTTTTTTGTCTGCTTCTTTGAGGCTCTTCTTTAACAGAAACTTCAGGTACTCCGTCAATCTGAAACAAAACACCAGGATTTGAGTTAAATGTTACTGAAGAAAACAGGTAATTAAATTAAATTAAATTATGCGTTGCCCAAGCCCAAACTAACCTAAAGTTAAATAAGCCGAGCGCATTTAATTAATGGCAAAGTCCCGAATCGAATAAAACACCGAAATAATTAACCGTCGGCAAAACTAAACCAAACACCAGAGTATCAATCAGGTAAATGGTTAAGGAACACTAGTCTTGAAAATTTCAGTCCGGACTCGAAGAAAACACCGGAATGACTTAAAGTATATGCGCGACCCAAGTAAAGATCGGTGCGGTTTTATCGCAAACACTGCTTAAACAAACGTTTGTAATAATTTTTTTACCGGGCTACGTTGATGATAACGAGCAATCATCATCAGGTACGACGGCGCACCTTGCTTGATACTACGGCTCGTAGGTTTTCACTGCTAGGCTCGCTTTAGCCACACCGATCATTTCCTGCTCGACCTTCATGGAATTGGAACAAAACGAAATTTACTAAACCAAACAAAATGCGATAACGCCGCTTCTAAGTTAATAGTTTTTCGGGGAAAATGTGTCATAATTTTTTTTTACAAGACTTAACTCTTTACACGTACCCACAAATCAAACATTTTGATAAGATTAGGCGACATTTTATGATCGATGCTGTTTGAATTCCTGTTTCTTATTTTGGTAACTATAGACTCATAGATTGTCGATGACATGTTTTATGATTTTAGGAGTCTATTTACTTTTAGCTGCTTGGAATCATAGAGAAGAAGTCCGTATGGATTCCTAATTACATTACAAATTATTATTTGAATGAAGACTCGCTAATAATAGTATCAAATGGATGATCTTGGTCGTAATAAAGATAAGCTAAATAGTATGAAAAACAATAGGTAACAGCAATTGATTGTTTCAAATCGGAAGTACCTAGATACATAAAAGCCTCCTGCACAAATTAAAAATATTATAAGCAGAACATTATTTAAGGTATTATCTACATTTTGTTAATGAAAATTTGAAAAATTGCTATAGTAAATAATTCAAACCGAATCAATCATATTTCATCACAATAAAGTCGAAATATTTTTTCAAGAAATTGCGATTAACTAATGCCAATTCCTGAATTCTTGCTGGAATAAACATATTGTTAGGTTAGAAAGAACTGAAAAAGAAACTCTTCTGGAATATAAATATAAAATAATATGAAAGGACATAAGTACGAATACAACCCATAAAAAAATGTTTGACATTTGGAAACCTCATCAGGGGCGAATCCAAAGAAAGAAGGAATGGGGTCGATTATCTCGTCGCTCCCTAGGGCCTTGAAAAATATATACTTTACTTTAATTTTGGCTCATTTTCACTAATTCACTAACCAATATTCTTACGATATTATTGGTACGCTAAAGCTGATGCCACTGCCGGTGGGAAATTCGTTACCTTTTTTGGCCCTTGGACCTTTGACAGCTCGGGAGCAAAAATTCTTTTTGAAAGTGAATTTGTGCAATTTTCTTAAAAGAAAAGCTTACAAAAGACTCAATCGCATCTAAGGGTAAGTCCCATACGTGAATAGACTTTTGCTTGCTTGTTTTTTTCGCTTTTCGTGCTTGCCTGTATTCTAACCTCACATAAGCTCGGTTTAAGCATGAGAGAAAATCAGGGGTCCTGAGGGGCCCCCTAAATTAACTTGTAATAGTAGATTATACCACGAGTCAATAATGATAGCTATTATTCCCGAGGATTATTACGAACTGAGCCGCGTTAGCGGCGAGGGAGTAACATTCCGAGGGAATAATAGCCATTATTGCGAGTAGTATACTCTACTTTATTTACGACAAATTAATTTATTTGAGATTTTCAATGAACAAATTTCATCCGTCTCATAATTTTCAATACAAATCCACAAGCACTACACGTTTGACACTGACACTTTTGTGGAATAATGACCATTAATCCCGCTACTCGTCATTAATCCCTGGAGGAATAACATATGTCATTATACTGCCAAAATCACAAATATAATAGGCATATTATACATTAGTCGTAAATAAATATACTTTTAGAGATCCCAAACCTTACATTGTTATAGTTGGACGCGAAAATGAGGAAATAATAGGAAATTTACATCCAATGCCAATGAGTATAGACAGAATGCTTAGAATCGGTAATGTGAAGGGAGTTGAAAAAACCTCTAGAAAGGGCAAAAATCGTGTACGGGGCGCGAAATAATTCGATTTCTGCATTTTGTTGAGCGTAATGTTGGTTAATTTAAAACTAAATATCCAAGATGTTTAATTGAAAATTTATTGTTTGATTTTTTGGTGGGTTATTGACCGAATGACCTTATAGAGGAGCCGCGCCTGATCAGTGCTAATGATTTTTCAGACAGTCAAGTAATTAAAAACAATAATTTAAAAGCTTATATTCCAATCTCACTAGTAACCTCTAAAGGATTGGCTAGGGGAATAGAGAAAAATTTATCCGCTGAGGAAATTTTAAAATCTGCGAAATCAGCGGCTACAATTATAGAGGCAAGAAGGCTTCAGAAAAGATGCAAAGAAAATGGTGATATAAAATATATCGACACTGAATCGGTAGTTTTTATACTTTTCGAGGGAAGATAATAACCTAGGACAATTAGTTTGGAATATTGTCAGAGGCGGATACAGGCCTTTTGAAAGGGGGGGGGGGGCGTTTAAATTAAAGTAAGCCAGATTGGGTTAGTTTTTTTTTTTTTTTTTTTTACGGATATGCGCACTCGCAAGGAAATGTCCTATCACGCTCGAGGGGCGGCAAGTGCGCGGAAATGTCGGTGTATGTTGGTCTTGAAACGGTTCAGGTTGTAACCTGCAGGGAAAACCGTCGCAGGGAGTTTATTCCACAGCGATGCTGTTCTCCAGAGATATGAATTCTGATATAATGAGGTTCTTGGTGCCTCTAGTTTGACAGTAAATTCATGGTTACCGTCTGTTTGACGGGTTCGCCTGGTAGGCGCTACTCTCGGTGGAATCATACGTGCCAACTCTTCAGAGCATTTTCCGTGATAGTACCTGTAGAAGAGAGATAAATCGCCCACAGATCTGCGATGTTCGAGACCATCCAAGTTACGAGTAAGTGCGGGGTCATTGATCAGCTTGATAGCTCGTTTTTGCACGGTGTTCAAAAGCATTAAGGTATGTTTGGGTGCTGCACTCCATATATGTGAGCAGTACTCCATAGTTGGTCGAATCTGGGCTTTGTAGAGTGTCAGCAATTGGCTTGGTGTGTACAGATGTCTTGTACGAAATAGCACCCCAAGCTTTTGGGACGCCCTTTTAGCAATATCTGCCACGTGACTGTGCCAAGACATGTTGGTCTCTGCAGTAACCCCCAAGATGTTCAACTGACTCTGTAATGTGACAGCACTTCCAGATAGCATGATGTTTGGCTCACCGGTGCTGGTCTTTTTTGAAAACAGAGCTGCTTGGGTTTTCTGCGCGTTGAACTGTACAAGGTTTTTGTTACCCCAGTCCTCTATTATCTCCAAGTCGTTATTTATCTGCGATATTTGAGTTAGTCTAAGATGATGGAATTCACGTGCGGAAAGACCTGTGGGTGGTATGAGTGAGGAGACTACATTGCCATCGTCTGCAAAGCAATAAAGTGGATTTACTGTTTTATCTATGAGGTCATTTATGTAAATCAGAAAAAGAGTTGGCGAAAGGATTGCTCCCTGTGGCACACCAGCATTTATTTGGTAAGAGTTGGAGTTCTGGCCATCCAGTGCAACATAAATGGATCTGTCCTTTAGGTAACTTTCAAACCAAGTGCAAAGTTTCGGCGATAATCCCATTGCTTTGAGCTTGTTGAGCAGATTTTCATGCCAAACTTTGTCGAATGCTTTAGATATATCTAAGGCAATTGTTCTTGTTTCACCCCGCAACTCAATCGCTTTTTGCCATAAGTGAGTGACGTATGTAAGTAAATCGCCAGTTGACCTATATTTTCGAAATCCGTATTGCTTATCGTTGATAATTTTGTACTTTTCCAAGTACTTGGTTAGGTGATTGTTCACAACTCTTTCCATTACTTTTGATATCACCGGAAGTAGAGCAATTGGTCTATAGTTTAACGGATCTGTCTTTTTTCCTTTCTTTGGAATGGGTTGTACTGCGGCAGACTTCCATGATGATGGATATACTCCTTGCCTGTAAGACAAATTGAATAATTTTGCGAAAGTTGGGGTGAGTTCGTTGGCGCAATTTTTGAGTACTATTGCGGGAATGCCATCCGGACCCATTGCTTTGTTTGTATCTAGCTTTTTAAGGGATTTTCGTATTTCTCTGTGACAAAAGGGTACCTCTGGCATACTATGGGAAACCCTTTCAATGAACGGTGGAGGTTTTCCGTTTGGCACTGTTAGGTTGGAGTTGGAGGAAAACATTTGGGCCAGCATATTGGCTTTTTCCTCTGATGTTGTGGCTAAGTGATTATTTTTATCTGTAAGTGGTGGTATGGATGATTTGGTGAAGTTAGATCCAACAGCTTTTGCAAGAGACCAAAAGGACCTAGAACTACTTGGACAATTCAGCAACCTGTTTTTTATTCTTTGATTGTATGTTTCTTTAGCGGAGTCAATAGTAATTTTGCAACTATTTCTGGCTTCTATAAATTCTGTGTGGTTTTGAGCGGTTTGGGTTAATTTTGGCAGCGCATTGTTCAAGATACAGTTTTTCGAAGGAATGGCCCATAAAAATATGGAAAAGGGGAAACTATTTAGGAGAATAAGGTGATTTTAAATAGGTAGGTTGGTAGGTACAGGGTGTTTTTTTATGTATTGACAGCCCACCTACAGCCTTTACCTTTACAGGTAAAAGAAAGGTGTAAATACAAAAGTTGTACAATTTTTTCTAAATTTTTAGAAACCATGGTCAGAAACAAAATTTGAATGTCAGAAATGTGAAACTTTGCATGCTTCTAGCTTTTTTTAAATGGGATGCTCTATATTTCATTCT